ATGACGTGGCTGGCTGCGAGGTTGATGAGGCTGTTCTGATTCTTCGTCACTTCGGAAGGAGATCAAGACTGTGGTTATCGAGGATACGTACCTGGTTGATGACGATACTCTCCATTTGCTGATGTAGACAGATTGACGTGCCACGTGGCACCTTGAGGAGGAACTTCAGACATTGTATTCAGTCTATTGATTGATGAGGTGGCGAGGAGGAGGAGGAACCTGAAGTAGAAGTGGGCTGTTGTCTTCTCTCTCCTTTGTCTATTCTCCCTCTCTCCTCCTTCGTCTGTGTATGATTCTCACCTCATTCTATCATCACACATATTACGATTGTTTGTCATTTCATCAGCAGATCGATAATCATAGCGACTGGTAATGTTGACGAGTATCATCACGTCTGGGCTCATTGCAAGTGGGTAACATTGGGGCGCGTGTTTGTTGGATGATGGTTTGTTCAGGTATCATGCGCTTAGGATTGCCTATGTAGACGAAGTTGATTCAAATTTCTACTCAGTCTTGGTGAAGTGCAATGACCGGGGGATTGAACAGGTGAGATGATTACCTTGTAATTGCGTTTGTGAAAGTGCCCTGAGGAGGGTCGGCTGATTTGGCAGGTGGGAGGTGGGAGGGGGGAGGGGGGGAGCTGGTCAGGGAAAAGGACAACATGATGACATAGCAGCACAGCATACAACGAGCTGCACGATGTGATTACAGTTTCAATGATGAGAATGACACCCCGACGGCAATGACAATGATGAGAATAATGATGATGATGATGATGATGCAAATTTCTTCTCGGTCTTGGGGAAGTGCAATAACGTTGGAATTGAAGAGGTGCGCTTATTGCCTTGGTGAGATAATTGCATGTTTGAGGGTACCCGGAGGGGGGAAGCTGGGCAGAAGAAAATACGTGACACAAGAATAAGAACCCTTTTTTGCGTGTTGGATGCCATTAAATGCTAAGGTGTTGGGACAGGGGAAGTGTGGCAGAAAAATGAAAAAAGGAAAACAAGAAGAACTCTTTTGTCTGTGTTTGATGTCTTCGTGCCAACAGGTTGATAGCAGGGAACTGGGGCAGAAAAAAGAAACAGGCCCGGCTCCCTGCAGGTGACGCCCTCCACCGATAGACAAGGGCATCAGTTGAAAAATAAAACAGTAGAAAAGGACCCTTTGTGTGTGCTTTATCCCAATTTGCTCGAAGTTTCTTGTGATAGTGTCATCGGCCAACAGGAACATGGAAAGAGAAGTGCATTCAAACTTCAGAGAGGAATTTATTGTGTGCGTCTTTGTGGTGAGCAGCTGCTATCATTCTTCTTAAACCTGTGTAATCGGTTTGGATTGTCTCGTAACTCTGTCTGTGAAACAGGAAATTTATCGTTTGCGGCTGCCTGGGCAATTCAGGCTTGGGGAGGGAAAGCCAGAGAATCAGAATCACGCAGTGATTTTCACTAGAGGAGAAGCACTTCAAGCAATCGATATGAACCAGGTGTGTAGGTACTGTGAGCAGCCTCAAGGATGCGTGAAATGTAGGCCTTTCAGTGCAAATCTGATATCTGAAATATGACGCTGGGCCATGAAATAGCATTGAGGCAAATGCTAACATTGTTCGGTTATTGAACCATTGAAATACGTATCAGGCTTTGAGTTATTGCCAGAAGACTAAGCCGGATATCCACCTGTACTAGCAGTCGAACCTATGACCTCCAAGGCTCAATGTTCTTGAGAATGCCTCCGCCAAGTTTGTTGAAGCAGTCCTTCCCGACATCTGTCAAAATTGGAACGATGCAGAGAAGATTGGAATGGCCCGTGTGGGAGGAGGACATCATGACACACATAAATCCAGACATTGTCCTATTTAAGAAGGAAAAAAAAAGGGTTTGTTGAACGTTGGCAAAAATTTGAGATTCCCAGGATGATAAAAATTTTAGGATTCACGAGAGAGCAAGGTGTTCTTGTTCAGATGCTCACGTTTTATCCAAAAGTAGTCTTAAATCACCAGCACCTCCGAGGCTCCTTTTTTCCTGATGTGGATTCCAGCTGCTCGCCCCCCCCCCCCAAAAAAAAAAAGAAAGAACTGGAGTGCTAGGCTACCAGAGTGCCCCGGGGCCACTTGCCCGGCCGGACCCTTCTCCCTCTCTGCCTACAGTTTACCGGGCAGCTCTGTTTGACGATATATATTTGAATTTTGAACGATTATATTTATTTAAATATTTTAACGTTATATATTTATTTTAACCATATATTTTAAAATTTTGAAGAATTTCGATGTGACCCTGAGGCAAAAAAATTTCTTTCTGCATAACATAGTTTGTTTTCGTATTTTTTTTGGATTGTTTGGATTTCTATTCTTTTTGCTGGGACCTCCCCTGGTCCTTGCATGGCCGGGCCGCCCAGGAAACAGGGTGACCCGGGCGGCCCGGCTGGTAGCCTAGCCGGCGTGGGCTTTTTTTTTTTTTTTTTTGCCTGGTGCCACCAGCATCTCAGTCCGGTAGGCTGAGCCCCAAAGGACCGCATGCGATAACGGCCATGTCGGTACACATATGTGGCTGGGAAAGGCACAGGACCAACTAATGGTGGTTTAAAAGTCATTCTATGTTGGACTAGTTTTGCAGCTATTGTCAGGGACAGTGTATCAGGATTGCAGCGTTGGTGTGAGTTAAGTCAACCACTGTTGTCAAGGGCATTGCTAACCGGGCCCAAGGTTGTGAGTTCTTGTCCATCAGTCGAATGCATCCTGGACAAACTTTCCCAATGAACTGCAGATTCCCTGTACGCTGTATAACGAAGTAGATTAGTTTGGTAATATTTTGGGTGCTACTGGGCTTGATCCCCTGACCTGTTCCTTACTGGGAATTTCTTCTTTTTTTTTTTTCTTTTTTTTTTTTTTTTAACTGGGACTTCCTTCCAAGTAGTTTTTCGACATCTTGAGGTCTGTGGGCTCGACCCCTGTACTTGTCACTTGCTGGGGTCTCTCTTCTGGGCACTCTTAGACCACTAGGCCGTTTCTTTTCGTATTTTCCTGCTGTTTTTGTGTAGGCCTGTAGGTCTTAATGTTCTGTTTGTCTAAGGTCAAAGTAGAGATCGTGTCTAGAAATAGGAGGCTGGCGAGGCACTCGGGGATCCTTTTGCTCATTCTTCCTTTCACGAGCTGGGTGTGAGGTTGCATTGCAGCTGGGAGGGCTATTTTTCACTAGTGTGGCAGCATCATCTTCAACACTGCTGGTGGCCATAGCTGAGGACGAGCAGCTTTGTTGATGACAGCACTGGGCTAAGCGCCCAAGTACTGAAGAGCGCTTCCTCCTATTTGTGCACTGTTGGTGTTTGGGCAGCTGCCACGAAGCAGCTCTTTGAATTCTTCTTCGATGTGGCGCCTTCATCTTCATCGAGTTGGTGTTCTTCTTCTTCATCCTGGGACCTGCGCTCCCCTGCTGAGTGAACACACTATCTGCAGCTGGCCTTCGTGAGTGGTGCAGAGAGGAGTGTTGGATTTAGGAGGGTGTGTGGTGATTGGCAGGCTTGATAGGTTGTGTGCTTACAAGCACCATAGCTAGAGCTTGACGAAGGGGGAGGAAGAGGGAGGAAGAGGAATACTCTGATGAAACTTCGTATATAATTGGTCCGTGGGTGTTGATGACGTGGTCGGGATTGTTGGGAAAATTCGTTTTGCTGATGTTACGATCCTGGCCGATTTCGAAGTATACATACATCAGAAAGTACAATGCCGTCCAATTGCAAAAAGAAATGAATGAACTTGAGAGGAGAGAGAGGGAAAGAAGAATAAGTAAGAAAGAAGAAGAAGATGATGTACTCCAGCATAGACCAGTGACAAGGCTCTTCTTCTTCGCCAACCAATCTTCTCCTCCTTATCTCCTCCCCTCTTATTCAAAGTTCAAACAAGAAATAACAATAATAATGTTGAATGGCTGAACCAGAATCAATGTCTGAATCCCACTTCTACTGCAGGCACACCATGATGTCCACCATAGCCATGGCCACCCTTCCTCTTCCTCTACATGCAGGCCGAGGCTAAGGTGGAGCACTGAGGGCTCTACCCTCCTAGCAGCTATGTCGCTGCCCTTCTGTCCCAAGGTCAACACCGGACAGCTATGCCGCTGCCCACCCAACCGCCATGCCTGACTCTGTCCCGAGCTTCCTTGGTGCGGCACTACCCCAACTGGGGCCTTCCAGCTGCAGCGCCTAACAAGGTGATGAAGATGGTGTCCACCATAGCCAGGTAAGTGACTCTCCACTCTCCTCCTTGGTCCCCTTCTCCCTCCTCCTCCTACCGGTAGAGCTTCACCATAGCCAAGGTGGAAGCTCCCGACTTCTTCCTCCCAGAAGCGCTGTAGTACCCAGCGCTACTCCAGCCAGCGCTCCAGCAGCGTGTCGCCAAACTTGCACACTGAAGAATGAGGCCGAGCTCTCCCCTCGGCCTCTTGATATAGCGGCCTGCTTGCCTCCTGGGCGGTGACTTCCAGGCCGCTCGGCCTCCCAAGCAGCCGGTACCTCTTCCCTTTCGGAGGGAAACATCATTGCAGACTCTGATATTGCCCGTACAGGCTCTAGACTCAGACTGGATGGACTGGTACTGGCCTAGACCTAGCCTACCGCTACTGGGCCTAAAAATGCCAACTTTGTCTTCTTCTGCTCGGCCTTGAGTACCCGGCACATCTACTGCTACTGGGTGCGGTACCGGCCTACCTCCTACTTGAGTGTTTTTCCGCTGCTCTAAGTGCCGTGGGCCTCTTGCTGCCGCCACTTGAGTGTTTTCCCCTGCTGCAACCCTCAATGCCACGGCCACAGGAAAGTACTGGCCCTATGGGCCTGCCAAACAAGCAAGTACCCTTGCGGGTCAAGCCGACAAGCACTCAGACAGGTACGCAAGTCAAGAGGGACGCACACATACAGACTTAGAAAACACAGCAGAATGCGGGAATCTCAGCAAGGCATCCATTCCATCGACAGAACTTCAGAAATCAGCCGTGTTCTCAGTCTGTGTTATTGCGGTTCCTTACACTGATTAAACTGGGGAGAGAGAGTAATTAGAATTGATTTTCTATTCAATTCTATTTTGGGTATTTGTGTGCTTCCGCTGTGTATTTTCCTCATCTGGTTTGGTGTGGATTGCTGTCTCCAAGTCACTTGTCATTGCGCACGGGTATGGGAATGTGTGGATGCCATGTTGGATTTCGTTTCAATCAGGCACATCACACTGTCGGTGAATGTGGTTTCTTTTCCATTTCCAATGGAAATTGGTGGCACAGGAAGTAATCAGCTCCTCCTGTGGAAGTTCCCATCCCATTGACTTCACAAAATCGTTCAGAGTGGAAAAATCGGAAGGGCACATGAGAGACAACCCAAGTCTGATGAAACATTCTCTGCACGTATGTGGGCAATTTCTTTTTCTTTTTTTTTTTTCTGTTTTTCCTTTTAAAACAGGTCCTTGTGGACCTGGTTCCATTTCCATTCTGGGGAGCATCAGTCCAGTTCCTATTCCACCGGAAAGTCCGAACAAAGTATTACGTCATAAAACACACTCGACGCTTCCTTCCATCTGGCCGAAGGAACACTGACCAGCATTGAGTACTCCAGCATTGTGGAGGATCGACTGTCAGCTTGCCTTACTTCCACCTGTCCTCTCAGGTCCACTGTATGAACCTGTCAGATAAATGATAAAGAGCAAGAAAGGTAAAAGAAGCTATGGAAGATGAATCTCGGAATTTGCCCTTAATGTTACGCGGCCTGTTTTGGATCTTGTCCGCCTGCTGAATGGGATTTCTGCCTTCTCCACGCTGCTTCTGAGTTGTGCCAGTCTTTCCACCGTATGCGAACGCATTCTTCTCCGTTGCTCCTCGTCATCTGGCATAGAGTGTCTCGTCTTATGCCACTCATGAAGAATCTCTGCCTGAATCAAGGTCCTTGTCTCCGCCCATACCTTCTCCCTTGGAGTTGAGAGTCCCTCAATGGTTCTGCAGCACCTTTCCTTCCAGATGGACCACAGCGTTACCTTTCTGATCATTCCGAGCCACGTTTTCTCTGTCTTGTGGAATTGAGCCGGGATGTTATTCCATAGGAGTTGGATAGGGTGTTCAGGGAGGGGAGTCGAGAAGAGGGAATCCCAGAGATCCGAGGCCCTCACCCAATATTTCATCTCCTCTCTACAGCGTATCAGGCAGTATAGCATATTTCCAGCGTTGTTTGGATGAACTCTTCCGCGAATGGCTAGATACATTTGTTGTTGTATATTTGGATGATATTTTGATTTTCAGTAAATCTTTAGAAGAACACCAACAGCACTTACCAATTGCATTGAGCCTCACTGCTCGACACCTCGAGTACACACACACACACATTGAGAGATCACACGAAATCCACACTGGAGTCCAGAGATGCAAAGTCCAGATATGCGCAGCTTAAAAATTCCAACAAATTATCACATTAAACAGTTTTGGAGATCCAGTCCCCAAGCGCTCAACAGCGCAAAAT